GAGATGTATTAACAAGAACTACAGATGACTTGATCCCACTTTGGGTACGTAGGCAGCCTTCAGGTCCATTCACTATTCTAATAAAACTATCTTTATCTTTGATAACCAGCTCGGCGTTCAAATTAAAAAACTGGTCTAAATCAACCATAAAAATCGACTCGGCATGTAGAGTCGTATTTTCTTTTGCGAATGCATCTTGCTGAATCGATGTTCTGGCCAAGCATTCCATTCGAAAAAATTAAGCACAAAAATAAATCAGTGGCTGGTCACCACTCTTTTGATACTTCGGTTCGATTTAATTATTTCCGAGGTGGATAAGATGAAAGCCGAGGACAATACTTGCACGACCCTCGATCATATCTTCCAGGCCGAAGCGAATCCTGAAATCTTGATATTCGATCTTGATTGTCGTTTGGTATAAGACGAGCAAATGAATCTTGCTTCCAGCACCGATATAAAGAATGCCCCTCGCACCGCAAGACAAAAGAAACTTTTTGACTTCGCGAAATCCTTAAAATTAAGGGCCACCTCGTCAACGAGTGTGAAATAACATTGATAATAAAGCTGTCAGATTTTATTCGTTAAAGAAGCATCTGTCTTGCATACATTTTTTCTAAAAATAAAAACAACAACTACAAAAATCGCTGAAGACTCAACGCCGTTTTGGCATTTGAATCCCGGCCGCCTCCAGCTTCGAATCCGAAGGTCGCATATAAATTCGCGTTGGAGCAGCGAAATCGTCCGGAGAACGCGGAGCATCCTTGATCCTGTGACGCTCCATCTTCAGACGACCGGCTTTAGCAAAGTGGGACAGAAGTTCCTCGACCGGAATATTATGACCCGCCAATCTAAGCCGCTTTCAGCAATCAGCTCTCGCCTCGGCGTCGACAATCTTAAGCTCGAGCCGGTGGATGTCAGGCTCCTGCGTCATAAACGCTTTAATCCGTTCAATACGGGGATCGTACCACTCGTGTAAACGTTGGTACATCAGATCGACGACGTGCTCAATAGAGTTGCGTTGTTGACCTCGGAACTCCTTCTCGGCGGGAGCTGCTTTCTTGGTTGCTTCGGCGGAGATCTTCTCCAAACTTTCTCTATTAAGTCGCCTTTCTTTTGCAGTCAACCTTAAGGGCTTGGTATTTGAGCTCCACACCGAGCTTCTCACGCTCAAGTTCTTTGATCTTCGCCAAAGCACCGCGAAGCTCTCGATCTTTGGCTGATAATTCCTCATCATTCTTCTCTTCTTGCACTTATTCTCGATCGTACGAGTCAATCAAAGACGTGCACGAACCCAAGCCCTGCACTAAGCGCTGAGCCATTCCAGAGAAGCAAGCGAACCGCTTCAGCTTTTCCACCAACGCCCCTTGGTTCGGCTTCGCCCTGCACTGCCATACCAGATTAGCTGCAAAGTATTCGTCGAGCATCGCCGGGAAATCCCCGCTCCAGCGAAGCAAGAATTCATGAGGATTGAAACCGGGCTCTTCATTAGCACCTCCTGGATCCTTCAGCGAGCTGCTCGTCGAACTCGGCCGGTTAAATTCTCGCTCTTCTGCCGTCGCAAAAGCGGAGTCCTGCCCCCCGATTGACGATTCGACCTCCAAATCTTCCGCTGGAGTTTCTGGAGTTAATCGCTCGTTCGCAACAGCCACATCAGGCTCGCTTGTAGAAAATAGAGCACCAAGGATGCACACTTATAGAAAATCTTACTGTCCTGACTATGATCAAAATTTCTAAACTGGAGATTCCAACTCTAAGCAGATTTCTGAGGTTAAGAACATAATGAGCCAGCTTCTTAAAGGCCAGCAACACACAATGAATTCGTCTGAAGCTACCATAGGCAGTGAAGATGACTTTCATCAAGAAAATGATGGTAAGAATCCATACTCTCAGAAAAAAAATGAATTTCATTGGAGGACGTAACTCATGTCCGAACCGGAATTTCAATAATAGATTCAATAACAACTTACAGAACAACAACAACTTTTCCTACTGGAACCTAAATGTGGAGAACCCTTCCAAAAGAAGTTCCAAAATATGAACTATGAACTGGAAACTTTCAGCCAGGACCACCTCTCAATGCTCAAACCGCTCCTTTCAACAGCCAAGAAGGAGGACTTCAATCTATGCCAAATGCATTATATCCGTCTAGAGAAGACAAGCTTGAAGGAGTGTAGTGGACGTGAGAGTGTTAAACGAATTGGTCCTCTAACTATGTGAGGGCTTAAGGTTTGTTTAGATGACTCTTAGGATGTACATATTTGTTTTAGTTTAGGATTATATAAGCTAAACTAAGATTAATGAAATCAGATGTTTCAGGAATGTTTCGGGGACGCAGACGATCTGCGGTCTTTGTAGGAGAGAAATGAATATTTGAGTAGATATGAACATAGTTGCTCAATTCCAGAAAGTCACTAGTTTTATTTGACTTAGGGCATGTTTGTTGGCTCATTATATCATTTACATCCAAATGTTCCATTCAAATGTTCCATCTCAATGTTGTTCGTTCTATTTTTGGTTGTTTATCTAGATGATTCATCAGAATGTAATTTAGTTTCTTTGATTAGTTGGTTGTAAATTTACATTTTCATCTAGATGATTTTTATAATAAAATCACTAAAATTCTCATGTTTTAATCTTATCATATTTTTAATTTTAATTTAGTAATTTCAATTTTAATTTGATTTAAAACTTATATATTAATCAAATAGTTTTACAGGAAATATGTAATTTTTCAATTATTGTGAAAAACACAATTTTATAGTTATAGTGGGAAACATAATTTTTTAGCTGAAAAAATGCAATTTTGTGGTTTTGCCAAGAGAAGGCGATTTGGTGTTTGGCAAAAAACAATGATTTTACAATTTTGGTAGAAAGAAAATGGGAAAAGCTAATTCACAATCCTGGAAAGAAAACCTGATTTTGCGGTTTAGACGGAGAAACCTGATTTTGCGGTTTAGACGGAGAAACATGATTTTGCAGTTTTGGAGGGAAAACACGATTTTACAGTTTTGGTAGGGGAAAAAATGATTTTCATGATGTTGGTGGAAGAAATCAATTTTGAGATTGTGGCAGAAAAATCCAACAGAAATACATGATTTTGCAGTCTTAACAGTTTTGTAGAAAATGCAATTGTGCGGTTACTCGATTTCATGTTTTTGGAGAAAAACACAATTCAGCTATTTTGGAAAAAAAAATCTAATTTTATGGTTTCGACAGAAAAATATGATTTTCAGATTTTTGTTTTTAGGGATAATTATAAATTATATCATCTAAATCATATTTATTTGCTCATCTGAAATTTGCATATAAATACTCTATATAGATAAGGATATTTTAGACATTTATTATTTTAGACTCGATATCTCCATCCAAATGATCTAATTTGGTCCATCCAGATAAATTTAACAAAATTACGTAAATTTTAAAAACTCATTTGAATGATTGATCACAGTTACTCGATTTTTGTTATAAAACAAATAAAATTTTCACTTCTGTCCAGATATGAACCAGCAAGAGAAGTCAGATTTTATATTATAACCATATAACGCCGATCGATGTTTAGTACGACTTCACTTCTAATGAATTTTGAATGATGTGATAGTTTGAGTTATAAACTTTTTGTGCAGCTTGTTTTAATTGAATGTGATATGAAGATAATTAACATTGGATTTGTCTCTGAAATATTTTTAGAATTGCTCCACAAGATTTTGAGCAGATCACTATTGCCTGAACATGAGATTCATGTTTTGCAGCAACGATAGCTATTGGTTTTGTGACGTTAGGTAAGTGTTGGAATGGCAAAGTGAGATGCAAGGAAGAGCTGAAGCGATTAAAAATGCAACGAATGAGCAAAAAGAGAGCTTCATTCTATTGAAATGATAATGCATAGAGATGATACAAGCAAAGAGCTTTTGGAATGGGGATATGTTGTTAATATATTTCGAGTTTTGTTGCTTTATGAAAAGTAGTTTATGCTCATATACATCTATTTGGATGATTTGGTGTATTATTTTTGGATACTAAATTGTTTTTGTTTATTTTAGTTTATGATTTGATTTCTTATATTTGTTTTGTCATATTCTATGATTTGCTGTATTTTAATTTTATTATTTTCTATTTCTGTTTAAATATAGTTTATGATTTTATCACAAAAATTATTATGTTATATTTATATTTGATTAAAAAAATATTATTGTAATTGTTAACTGAACAAAACTAATTCTTATAAATGGTTAGTATAATCAAACTACTGTATATTGTTAGTAAAAAAAAAGATATATATACAAAGTTATAACAGCTAAAATAAAATTAATTCAAAACTTATAATAGTCGTAAGCAATTATGAAACGAACAAACTTATGATTTATGATCAATTTATAACCTCAGTTCTCTGGGTTATAAAAATATCTGCATAAGTTTGAGGGTCTTATTTTCTCCACACTTATAAATTTATAATTATTTACAACTTGATCAATAGAATTAATATCTCATCCCAAATATATCTTCGAATAACTCTCCCTAGATTCCATTTTTTTAATTTCCTTGGTTACAATTACTATATTTTGAAAATACTATAATTTCAATCTTTCTTAATTCAGGGTCATACATTCTAAAATATTTGAGATAGTCTATACACACAGTTGCAATTTTCATTATATATTATTGTAAAATGATTGCAGATTTCGATAAGAATGTATTGTATAAGATGAAGATTGAATGAATCATATGCAATCTACTATTATACATTAGTATGAAATCCAATGTGGTACATCCCTTGGATACCGAAAAATAACTGAGAAGAAAAGAATGGAAATCAATCTATTATAAAAAAGAAAAGATAAAGGACAAAATATGGAAATAAATCTATTATAAAGAAAGGAATGAAAAACAAGTGTACATTAACTAGACTTGAAAGCTTGGTTTTATAAAGACTTACCCATTGTTCCCATATCTTCATAACAACACTCACTTCCCATTTGTCCTCTCAAGAAAGAAAAAAAATGCCGATCATCTGCGTAACAACATCTTCAGCAGAGAAAGAACATGAACCAAAACAAGATCTTGATAACGACCAATCTCCTCCATTAAACTCCAACCCTTTTCTTCCTAATCTCCAATCTCAAATCCCAAACCAATTCATTTGGCCAGACGAAGAGAAACCTTCCATTGATACTCCAGAGCTCAACGTCCCTTTGCTCGATCTCTCGACCCAAGTCTCAACCCCAGACGCTTCTAGACTCATCGCAGAAGCTTGCACCAAACATGGCTTCTTCCTCGTCATCAATCATGGCGTCAGCGAGTCGCTCATTTCAGACGCTCAACGTTTCATGGAACGTTTCTTCGACATGCCTCTCATTGACAGAGAGCTCAGAGAAAACTCGGTGAAAGCTATGGTTACGCCTGTAGCTTCACCGGAAGATTCTCCACCAAGCTCCCATGGAAGGAGACTCTCTCTTTCCGATTTTCCAACGAGAATAGTGGCTCAAGAACCGTTCAAGATTACTTCTCCGTTACGTTAGGACAAGAGTTCGAGCGATTCGGGTATGTGTCCTATTACCAAACAGAGCCAAACCCCAACTATGTCATTGTTTCCTTTGTTTTAGACTTTTAGTCATACTCGCATAAACCGGTTCCTTATACCAAAATTATTAAACCGGAAATAATTGAACCGGTTTTACAACTAATGTCCCCGGTTATGTTTACAGGAAGGTGTTTCAAGACTACTGTGATGCAATGAGCTCTCTGTCACTCAACATCATGGAGCTTCTAGGGCTAAGCTTAGGCGTAAACCGAGAATATTTCAGAGGATTTTTCGAAGAGAATGATTCTATAATGAGGCTGAATCATTACCCCTTATGCGCACAACCAGATCTCACATTAGGTACTGGACCACATTGTGATCCGACTTCTTTGACTATCCTTCACCAAGACCATGTCAGTGGCCTTCAAGTCCTTGTTGACAATCAATGGCGATCCATTCTCCCCATTCCCAATGCCTTCGTCGTCAATATCGGTGACACTTTCATGGTAATTATTAACCGTCTAAAGACAAAAACACATTTTGGTTTAGTACTCATAGACAAATGATTGATTAAGTTTTTGTCTTTAAGGGGGATATTCAAGAGTTGTTTGCATAGAGCGGTTGTGAATAGAGAGTGTGCGAGAAGATCAATGGCGTTTTTCTTGTGTCCCAAGAAAGACAAAGTTGTGAAGCCACCAAGTGAGATTGTGGAGAAGACGGGAGAAAGAAGATATCCTGATTTCACTTGGCCTATGTTCCTTGAGTTTACTCAAAATCATTACAGATCTTATTTCAGTACTCTCGATTCCTTTGCAAGTTGGGTCATTGCCAACAAAAATCCCATCTAAGCTGAGCCGTGCCTTGGGATGTTTGAGCCGTACCTTACATGTTTAACGTTACTGATGAAATAAAAAAAAATATAAAATATTAAAATATTTAATTTTTTTTTAAATGGCTTAATATTATAATATTAAAATATTTAATAAGAAATATATAAGTGTTGAAAACTAAATTAAATATAATATAAAAAAAAGCAAATAAATATGACAGCATAATTACAAAACATTATAAAGAGATGTACAACATAACACACTTTTTAGGAAAAGAGTGATATTAACATGTAGCCTTTTCTCTAAAACAATTTTATGTGATTTTATAATAATTTTTAGATAAGGAATATATGAAAAAAATAATATAGGCAAAAAAGAAAATGATAAAAAAAAAGAATAATTAACTAATGTGATGGGATAAAAGATGAATAAACAATTGATTTGGGTCTATGTAAGAAAAATAATTTAACAAATGAAATAAAATTCATGAGTTAGACTTTGGACTCAGCAAGCATATTCATGAGGGATTGAACCTACTGAAATCATTTTAACAAAACTTCATCATTGCTATTTGCCACGAAACCTATAATTCTTTTTTTTTTTTTAATTAATCATGCAATCCCCTCTTGATAAACGATTTTGAAACGCACGTTATTTGAATTTCGACTAAAATGGCTTTGAGTTTTTGATATACAAAAGCTTATATAATTGGATGTGTCAAATTAGTAATTAATATATGATGATTTAATTGATAAAATTTCAATATATGTTGTAATCAAATTAAAACTTAATTTTATAAAATATAAACTCTTAGAGGGGAAATGAACACATTTCTTAAAAAGTTTTCACTAGCAATAACTTAAGCCCATCAAGACTAGAAAGACTGCGCCGACGTAGCTCAGGAAAAGGAAAACTCCTAAAGATAACTTTCGAAATCCGGAAGCATCGGATTGACTCGAAGGATAAAAGAGAATTTCCATATTCTTCAAAGAATAAGAGATATTTCCATATCGCAAATATAGAAATACTCACCAAAGAAAAAAAGGAAAAGGAGTTCAGAGCAACCGACCTCCTATCCCTATAAATAAGAAGATCCCGAAGCTGAAGAAACCAACTCATATAATCTAGAGAGCGGCAGAGCTAAAACCACAGACTCAAACGCTTTCTAGTTTACTTCGGAAACACCTTCTTTCACTTCGGCATAACTTCTCGGTTATACCAATCTTTGTAATCGCTTCGCTCTATTGCTATTAATAAAAGATCTTATTCTCCTAAACCCACAACTGTTAATCAAATCCTTAGTGGTGATTTTCTGGTTCAACAGTTGGCGCCGTCTATGGGGACTAGGAGAATAAATTCTTAGAAACTAGCAACTAAAAGCCAAAGCGATGAGTCTCCCGATCGACAACAGCGACCTCATCCGCAACGACAACGACACCACTACGCATACAGAGACGTCTGCTCTCGACAAGCATGGCAACACCACCACCACGATCCTACCACCCACGGGAGAACACGCAACATCCAGCAATTCCTACATGATCTTAGGAGGGGAATTCGACGATCCTAGTTCGCCAAAGGAAATAACGCATCAGGAAGAAAAAGCGGTGGACGCAAAACAAAATCCAATCACCTCGGAGAATGAAGCACCAGTAGATTTCACAGCAGAAGATCTACGCAGTTCGCACATGCCACACGCCAACCCACTGGTCGTAACTTTACAAATTCACGAAAGCACAGTCACCAAAGCTTTGGTTGACAGCGGGAGCACCGTCAATGTTATCTTCAGGGACACACTGGCGAGAATGAGCATCAATGAAGGCGAAATAACAAAAATGGTAGAACCGCTAACAGGATTTGCAGGCGACACCTCCTACACTACCGGCTCGATACATCTACTCACTTACATCGGCGGCGTAACCAAAAAGGCTAAATTTGCAGTCATCGACTGCCCGACTATCTACAACGTCATACTTGGGACTCCATGGATCCATGCCATGAAGGAAATCATCTCAACATACCATCAATGCATTAAGTTCCCAACACCGATCGGTACGTTCACACTGCAAGGCGACCAAGCAACAGCACGAATGTGCCTCTTCAGCGAAAGGAAAATCAGGACGGCGACTACTTATATTACCTGACTTTAAGTGCACGATCGTTTACAATTACTCCATACGGTATTAACCGGACCAAAATATACCAACTATAAACTTTATTCCCTGACTTTTCTTTAAATTAGTGCATACGTACATTACTACGTACGTGCTTAGTTCACTGTCTTGACTTCTCTGCTATATTCTACTAATATGCCAAGGCAAAGGAAAAAAACAATTTAAAATATAATCAGATATATCACTACTATATTATTAACTTCCAATAAGACAAATAATACAAAAAATCGATAATCTGAACATGTATAGTAAACGAGGACTTAGACCCACGCCTCCCCTTTCACAAAAGACCAAAGCCCGAGCGGGTTATACAGGTAAGCCTTGACGAGGAATATCCGGAAAGAGTCGTTAGCATTGGCGGCGACCTCACGGAAGATATAAAAATGGAGCTCGTCAAACTTCTAAGAAACCGCATACACTTATTCGCCTGGTCTATGGAGAACATAAAGGGAATTGACACCAGAATCACGTCGCATAAACTAAATATAGACCCTACGTTCAAGCCAATAAAATAAAAACGAAGGAAGTTTGACCACGAGAAAGCACAAGCGGTAATCGATGAAGTAGAAAAACTACTCGAAGCTGGATCGATTACCGAGGTTCAGTATCCCGATTGGCTAGCTAACCCCGTCGTAGTTAAAAAAAAGAACGACAAGTGGAGAGTCTGCGTTGACTTCACCGATCTCAATAAAGCTTGTCCAAAAGATTGCTTCCCCCTTCCCCACATCGACCGACTGGTCGAATCAACAGCCGGAAATCAGCTCCTGTCCTTTATGGACGCCTTCTCCGGGTACAATCAGATCTTTATGCACCCCAACGATAGAGAGAAGACGGCGTTCATCACCGATCAAGGAACATATTGTTACAAAGTCATGCCTTTCGGACTAAAAAACGCAGGAGCCACGTACCAGCGGTTGGTCACAAAATGTTTGCAAGTCAGCTCGGCCGCACTATGGAAGTATACATCGACGATATGCTAGTCAAATCCGCAGTCGCCAAGGACCACGTTGGCTACCTCAGGGATTGCTTACATTCGGAGTGACCTCGGGAGAATTCCTAGGTTACTTCTTCACCCAAAAGGGGATAGAAGCAAACCCAAAACAAATTTTGGCAATACTCCCAAAAATAAGCGCGAAGTACAACGACTAACCGGGAGAATTGCCGCGCTAAATTAATTTTTCTCGCGTTCTACTGATAAATGTCTCCCCTTCTATCAATTACTTCAGAGTAACAAACGTTTCGATTAGGACGACAAGTGCGAAGAAGCATTCTTACAATTAAAGGAGTACTTGACCACTCCACCGATATTAGCTAAACCAGAGGATGGCGAGACTGTGTGCCTTTATATCGCAGTCTCGACAGCGGCAGTGAGCGGCGTCCTCGTCCGGGAAGACCGTGGCAAGCAGAAGCCAATCTTCTACATAAGCAAGACTCTGGATGGAGCTGAAACTCGCTATCCGGCTCTGGAAAAACTCGCCTATGCAGTAATTATCTCGGCACAGAAACTGCGACCCTACTTCCAATCTCACAGTATCGTTGTCTTCACCAGTCAACCACTTCGGAGCATTCTACACAGCCCGAGCCAATCCGACCGAATGGCTAAATGGGCGATAGAACTGTCCGAATATGGTATCGAGTACCGCGCTCGAACTAGCGCCAAATCTCAAGTCTTGGCAGATTTTATGATTGAAATACCACCAGATCTACTAAATGACGAGTCGCCTACCGAAAGCTGCTGTAATTTGTACGTGGATGGTGCATCATCAAAGCAAGGATCAGGGGTCGGCATCTGTTTGAAATCAACAATAGGGGAAGTCCTTGAACAATCATTCAAGCTCGGCTTCTCTGCCTCGAACAACGAAGCCGAATACGAAGCTTTGCTTGCAGGGATTCGGCTCGCCAAAGAAGTAGGAGCGAAAAATATTCATGCCTTTTGCGATTCCCAGCTCGTCGCCAGCCAGTTCAAAGGAGACTACGACGCGAAGAACGAGAGAATGGATGCTTACCTAAAACAGGTCCAGGAAATAACAAGACAATTCGATTCCTTCGAACTAACTAAAATCCCGTGAACTGAAAATATCGCCGCCGACGCGCTGGCGGCATTAGCATCAACAACGGATCCTGCACTTCGCTGAACAATTACAGTGGAGATCATTGAGCAACCCAACATCCAATTATCCAAAGGAGCCTGCAACATGGTTCTTCACCAAGAAGATGAAACGGACGACCCAATATAAGTAAACGCCGAGCAACCAAAGCAACCTTGGCAGGATAAAATTAAGTCTTACCTATCTGAAGAAATAGTTCCGCAAGATAGATGGGCAGCTAGACGTCTCCGAAGGAAAGCAGCGCAATACTTCATTGAAGATGGAAACCTATTCCGATGGACAGCAAACAAAGTAATACTACGATGCTATAATGAAGCGCAAACAAAGAGGGTTATGGTAGAAACTCATGAAGGAGCAGGCGGAAACCATTCCGGATGAAGGGCATCAACATTAAAAATAAAAAATCATGGATTATTTTGGCCCAATTTGATACAAGATTGTGACTAATTCGTACTACGGTGCGAACAATGTCAAAAACACGTGCCCATCATCAACCCACCCACCGAGCTCCTTCAGACTGCGGTTCCGCCTTACCCCTTCATGAGGTGGTCAATGGATGCAATTGGACCAATGCCTAAATCAGGTCGCAATCAACACATTCATGTCGTGACCGATTACTTCACAAAATGGGTCGAAGCTAAAGCATACCCCACTATAAAGGCAATTGACGTCCAACTTTTCGTATGGGAAATAATATGTCAACACAGTCTCCCATATGAGATCATCACAGATAACG